AAAAAACAACACAGAAGGTGCTCGTTATTTTCCTGACAAAACGACTGTTTTGTCTGATGGCGCGATGTCTGACGCAGCCGCTTTGTCTTTTTACGGGTTTTCTCAGCCGAATCGCTCTGCCGCGGCGGCGTTGGGAAAGTGGCCGCCGAACAGCTTGCGATAAGGAAGCGTTCATGCGTTAAGCTCGTATTGTCAGCTCTTGTTCACGCTCGGCTTTCTCTCCTCGTATTCACACGGACCCGTTCTCTTTTAATGGCTACGAAATATTACTTTCATTAGTGGAGAGTTAATATTTTGCCTTTTTTTTTTTTTCGCCGCGTCTCGAGCACGCGGACGTTCCTGGTGCGCTGTCTGTAACCTGATGTGTGTAACCTCGCGCGCAAAACGCTCCTCAGAACCCCACTTCAATACTCTAATGGTGCTTTCAATGACTTTCAAGATCACACAGATTTGTCCTTATGTATGTGTGTGTGTGTGTGTGGGGGGGTATACACCATATATATAGAACTATATGGTGGAAGTTTTCATGGATCCATGATCATACAAAGGGCATGCTATCAATAGAGAACTGATACGTGTTGATTTTTGGTTGCCAGGCAGACTAGAATACGGAAATGAAACATCTGCTCTATCACGCATCGAGTGCTAGATGAGTAGACGACGCAGGGGTGTTTAACCGAAAGTATGACTTCCTGTTTGTCTTTGTAGGAACAGAAGGCCTTGAACAGAGAGACTTACACTCTCTCCATCTTCTAATTTTGTAGGTGAGCTGAGCCCGTCTCGCAAGGTGCTTAATAAACTCGTGATCTAACCCAGTGGTTTTCAAAGTGGGGGCCGCCAGGGGGCACCCGGGGGGGCCTCAACAATTTGGTGTGAAAAATAAATTCTCACTCTCAGACAACCCCACACACACACACACACACACACACACACACACACACACACACAATCAATTCCTAATATGATGTAAGATGTAATTATTAATAAAAACGGGGGATATATTCGGAAGTCTGTATTTTTAATTTGTTTTAAAGACATACTTACAAAAAAAAAAAAAAAAAGAGAAAAATTCATAACACATCTTGCAAAAGGGGGCGTCGGTCAAATGTTAATGCCATTTGAGGGGCCTTGCCCTGGAAAAGTTTGGGAACCCCTGATCTAACCTACCTGTGTGTGCACTCTTGCACTACCTGTTTGCCTTTAGTAGCTAGTCAGGGTTTCTAACAAGCTAGATAACATTAGAATAAGTACTAGGGTGCGTCTCAAGTCAGCGCCCCAGTTCAGTAGTCAGGGAGTCGGCCATTCTTAATCGCAAAATCAATCTGGAACGTCCGCTCCGTAAAGAAATCCCACAATGCACCGTAAATACCACGGAGTATCGACGCTCGCGAAGTTCCCTTATTGGAAATGACGTCCTGTTTTCTGGAGCCTCTCAGCTCACGTAGCTCGTTATCGTCGTTGTAGCTCTCAAATGATTTACGTACGTTAACGTTAGCGATTTTTTATCTATATTTGACGGTTTGTTTGAGCCGAATGACTTTAAAGTGTTTAATGATTAAAAAAAATTCAAATCCCACTAGCCGGCCTACGATCCTGCTCGAAGTGCCGTGACAAAGACGCATATGATTTGTTGACTTTTACAACGGGAGTATGTAGTCATGTCCCCGGAAATTGAGCTATCAGTGTCCCAATGTGTAGTGATGTGTACTGATTCACCACCTAGGGAGCTGATCGCGACGCACCTCTAGCCTGCACTAGCAACACTAGCAAGCTGGCTAATATTATGCTATTGTTTTTTTTTTTATTGTATTGTATGAGCAGACTGGCTCATATAAGACTAAGACTAAGGTTTGCATAGACTAGGTTCGCTTGCAAGCTAGCCAACATTAGGCGATGTATTAAAAACCATTAGCCATATTCACCAGCAAAGTAGCTAATATACAGGAAAGCTAACTTCATGGGATTTGCTACATTCAAAGCACACTAGCCAACATTTGGGAAGAAAACCAGCTAATGTCAGTGACTGAACTGGGAAAAAACTGTTATTTCCACAACCTTCTTTCTTTCTTTCTTTCTTTTTAAACTCTTTTTGTGTAAAACGTGACATCTCTTTTAATTAGTAAGAGCACACAAATCTGATTACCCTGATTAGCATACAAATCATGCTAATCATGCTAAACTGGATATTATCCTGGTTTTATTTCCCGTTTCAGAAAGAATTATTTCATGAGGATATTAAATTTAAGGAATACAGTAATAGGTGGTTAAAAACGGTGACGGAATGGAATCAAAATTGTAGGGATTTTTCTCGCATACTTAGAACCTGTTCATGTCCTTTCGATTTCATTTGACCCCTTTTCGAAAAATACGGATGGCTTACGCAACCTTTTTGGAAACCCACTGTTTCGTATATGATAATGATTTCATAAAGCACTCATTGCCACTGACACAACATTCCCATCTTGACCACTTTTAGAGACGCCAGGTCTATGCGACTGCATTTCTGCGGGAATCATGGGATTTCACTCGAGCCCAGCGTGCAATACTTTACCAGTCCGTTCACCGTCCAATCTCCAAACCGAAGGCCGTAACCGTAATCGTATAGAATTCCATCTCGTATCATTCACCTTCGGCACGAAGAGCTTCAACTCGGCTGCGTTTTCGGGGCTCGTGACAAAAGGAATGAATGTAGCGTACCAGCATTACAGTATGAATATATTTAGGACTCCCAGGTTGCTGATACAGAACGTTTCTTTAAAATAAATATATAATGTGTATATATATATATATATATATATATATATATATATTTATATATATATAATGCTTGGGAGTAGCTTTCGTACAAAGGAATGCTGTGTGTTTGCTGTCTTTGTGATGTGCAAACTGTGCACGCAGCTACCTGTTTATTTTTACTCGTGTAACACTAGCTCTTACGAAAAAGCTACAATTCCTTTGAAATGTGAGACCCGAAACAGCACGTCCTCGCCGTGTGTCCAAATCTGACTTCGTCTCAGGACACTTTCTCAGCAACGGGGATCTTCCTCGTGTTGATCCAGGACAGAAATGACGGCTTATGGTGTCTCCGATTTAATAAAAACAAACCCACGTCTGTTTTACTGTATTGATATTTGTTCCAAAGTGCAATTACGGGTCCAAGCACTTGTGCTGGAACAGTACATGGATGAGATGTTCAGAGAATAGATAGTCTGTCAGTTTGATTATAGGGATGAATTAGGGGTGATTTCTGTCATTGTACCATACAGTACGGTACAACAAGCGCACATGACATGACCAGAAGGCACTACAACCGGAAGTAAAACCGCCCAACACGTCATTGGAACACATTGCTGTGCTTGCAGAGAGCGAGAGGTATTATCAAGGACACCTCCCATCCCAACCATGGACTGTTTGGACGTCTCCAAAGGCTGTGTTGTTGCACAAAAAGACTCATGAACAGCTTTTTCCCTTCAGCTGTACTAATGCTGCACTCAGCTCCTAAGCATTAGCTACCAGCCTCCACTAACAACTAAACGTTAGCATTAAACACCATGCTATACTGCATCATACGTTACCCAATATATTATCTGCAATTATTAATATGTACTTGCACATTACTGAAATTCGTATTTAGACTACGGGTCAAAAGTTGAATAATAATAATAATAATAATAATAATAATAAAGTCATCAAAACTCTGGAGTAACACAAATGGAGATATGGGCATTATGTTAGAAGGTTTTTAACGATCGTGAGAAACGTTTCAGTCGAGCGTCCACAAACTTTTGACCGGCAGTGTATATCAGACTATTATTTGCACTTTATTGCACATCTGCATGTACTGTAATCCACTGTATGCGTCATATTGCATGAATCGTGCTGTTTACCTCTGCTTGTGTACCGGTCATCTCAACCTATTGCACGCCGATTCGTATTTATCGCATTTAACCGAATTTCCGTTTGCGTCATTGGTATGTGTCATTCTGTTGACCTTTACCTGTACACGGTTCTCTTAACTTATCGCACCATAACCTTATTTATTTCATTGGACTTCTTTACTATTTGCACAGCTGGTTGGATGCTAACGGCATTTCATTGGCTCTGTACATGTACTCGGATAATGACAATAACGTTGAACCTAACCTAACCTTACCTAATCTGATTAGGTCAGTATTCAGCAGGCATTTGAATCACATGGCTTTCGGCGGCCAGTCGGAGTTCTGCAGGGTTTTAAAAACCATCCAGTGAGGTTTCACCAGGTATGACCACCATCAGCCAGTTATATATTCAGCAGGCATTTGGAAAAAGACATGGCTGCCAATACCCAATCAGCGTTTGGCAGGGATTTGAAAAACAAGGCTGTCATGATCCAGTTAGCTTTCAGCTAGCATTGGAACACCATCAGCCATCAGTGTTTTTACTTGGACTTGGATGCTCAGCTTTGTCCCAAGAATATTATTCGCTCTGTAAACTATAAATAAGCTGTTTCTCTAGTCTGTACAGAGAAATGGATATTTTTGTGATCTGAATTCCCGATCTAGGCTAAGAATCAAAACCTTACTGTTCTTGCCCTCGTGTGATGTTTTTGGTTGCACGGAACGCTTAGCTAGTTTTAAAATATATTATATTTAAAGAAGTGAACGCTCAAGTTCTCGGCGAGGGGATGATTCTGTGCCTCCGTAGTTCTCATCGTGTCCTGATAATGTCTTCGAAGGCCGATATATTTGCTCGACATTGAGATGTAGGACGTTTTTGAACCACCACTGCTCTGCGTTTTATCCAGGTTCATCACCTTGTGCATCTGTCAGCTCTGCTTGTTGCCATGAAAAGTTTGTCATCTGTACACGCTTCTTTTACATAATAAAAATACAGGCTGTGACCATAATCTCCATACAGTAGAGGAGAATGTTCGCCAGCACCACTGGCGTGCCTTTGTCAGTGGATGTTCGTGGACGTCCACGTCTACTCGGTTGGTTCCTGTTAAAGTCCATCACGACCGTGGCAGTGGTAGCTCAGTGGTTAAGGCAGTGGACTCCACATCAGAGGGTCGTAAGTTCAAACCCCAGCACTACCAACCTGACACTGTTGGGGCCTTGAGCAATCCGTCAACTGCTCAGATGTGTAAAATGACATAAAATGTAATAATTGTAAATATAAACCTTGTGACCGCTATGTGTGAAGACTTCCGGAACACACTGTAGTCCCTACCGTTGACCAAGGTTTATCCTCGGTGGATGTATTATACATTAAACACAACATATTAAGGGTTCCAATAATTGTTGAACACCGATATTTAACATATATATATATTTGATAAACCCGTCTTTTGTTTGCGATTGTTTGATTCCATTCCATTTTCTGAACGAAAGATCAAAAGGTTAAGCAATAAAGGCAACTTTTCCCAGCCTTCTTCGCTCATATTGACCAAGGGTGCCAATATTAATGGAGGGCAGGCACTGTGTGTACATCCATATGTTGCTATATTGTTTAGTTTGGTGCTTTTCTTAGCTTTAGCACACTTTTAATCAACTCGAGCACCAGTGTACGGGATAACACAAGGCTCATGTTGTGCAGAACTTGTGTTTGAAAGTGCCCAGAGAGATGACGTTGTATTTGTACTAAAGCGCCGCCGGAGTTAATGTTTCTTTTATGACTCATCAGTAATTCAGGACTGCGAACACTTTCAACATGCCGGAGTCTACGCGGTCACGCCAAATTTCCAGTCTGGATCCACGCACCAGTTCTTGGATCACGGAGCGGCCGTTAATGAATTATGTACGCAAAATTGATTCGGAGCTTAAAACCCATCTTAATTCTAACTTCCTGGTTGGTTGGCTTCAAGATCGACACAGTCAAAAGCGAAGCGTTTATTAAATCAAAACAGTCCATGCTGTTAGGCAAGGAATAACATCAAACACTGTTATTATTGTCAAAAAAAATATAATCAAAGACAGGCTGAGCTTGATTATTTCCCGACAACAGCGTAACCTTTAATATATATTCCTCTTTCACCAACAAACGACAGTTTGTTAGTCATTAATTAACCACGGTGACTACGTTTGTACGGACGATGATAATCCGATATGAACCCGATTAAGACGATACTCTGATTAAGAAACTAGCATGTAAACGGCGATTATTGATGACCTTAATCCGATTAAAGTCATACTCGGAGTAAACACAGATGGAATTAAGACGTGTGGAGTGTTCCTGTTTTAGTCGCGTTATCAGACATGTACACGCCTTAACCACATTATTATCTTAATCAGAATAAGGTCAATAATTAGATTACCACTGTCCGTGTAAACATTGTCACCGACTGCGTTTACATGGACAGCAGTAATCTAATTACTGACCTTATTCTGAATAAGACGTATGATCTTGTGATGAAGGTGTTCACACGAGTCGCTTTTAGAATACTCCTGTCATGTTCCCGCTTTAGCCGTTCTAGAACATAGATGAATTAACGGCACACGTCATTACGTGCCCACGCCACGCCAGCCGCCATTCCCTCCAGAATCCCCCCCCAACAAAGTATCCTGAATGTCCTTTTTCCAGATATATTCTTTTAAAACAGCTTTAGTGCATGACTGTAGAATTTTTCTCGATCTTGAGTAGGCCGTGCGTTAGACAGCTGTCCTTATTCTGCCTTTGCAAATAGGCCAGATCTTATCTGGCCTAAAACGCTGCCTCTGTCCTCCGAGGTAGCTCGCTTTTATATATTTAATGATGCCGGGAAGTTTTGCTGACAGCCGGGTAGATGAAGCGACGGAGAACCGCATTGCTACGGCTCGAGACTACAGAGCAGGTCGTCTCGGATCCGAACCACGTCTCGCCGTAGCTCAGAGTGTCCTCCGTTCTCCGTATCTGTGACGTTTGTTTATTTATAAAAACCTCACAGGCAGATCACACGCCTCGCTAAGTTCACACTCTGCGTTTCACGGGGTTTTATATTTATACTTATTCCCCATCAACACCCCCCCCCCCCCCCCCCAAACGGTGTCACAGAACCAGAGCTGTACACGAAGCCATCTCACGTTCCTCACGTTTCCAGCACTCTGAGATTCTCCTTTGGTGCGGTCCAGAGAAGAGACACGGCTCCCAGCGTCGTCTGTACGAGAAGCCTTTTCATCCGCTGACGTGTATCTGACATTACACTCTCTTGACACGTGTGTAAAGTCTGTACTTTACCGCCGAGATGGAGCTGTGATGGACCACTGCTTCTTCCTGCTTTCTTTCTTTCTGTCTTTTTTCCTTTTTTTTCTTTTCTTTTTCCTTGCTCGCGGTAATCTCTGCTGGAAAGTCTGTCTGTCACCGAGTCAGACTAAAAGCCTGTCTGTTAAAGCCTTTTTTTTTTTTTTTTTTTTATTGATTATTACAACACAAAAACAAACAAACAGACAGAAAGTAAGCAAACACGTCTATTTCCTTAAGCGTCTTAATCACGTCTGCGTCTGTTAATAACACCTCGGATCAATTTCCCCTTAACGAAAAGACTATTAATTGCGCAGGATTTTGTACGCGCTGTTATTTATCACTAATGACTGGAAATGACTTCCCAGAAATGGAAGCGTTAACTGGCGCCCAGCTGGGTTCAGCAGCACAATTACGCCGGTTTGACGGACGGTTTTGAAACGAGCTCCTGTTTTAAGATGAAACATGGAGATTAACCTTCCCAGCTCCAAACACACCTAGACTCCATCCCGCATCCATATCAATAACATTTTCCGCCAGAAATGACTGTAAATGATGAAAAATGCGCAAAAAGTTCCACACAGGAACTTTTCCACCACACCACCTGAAAGCACTCTGTGTTCGACTGCGTGTAGCTGATTTATATGATATTTTATGCTTAATTGTTTAATTTATAACAAAAACAACAAGTTTTTCATTACCTCAGAGTTTCTAAATGAAACGTTCATTAATTAGCTTTATATATACTGGGGATATAATACACTATTAAAAGGACAGAGTTTGTTTTTCCTGATCGCTTTTTAGCTTTTTTTTTTTTTTTTTTTTAAAAAATGAAACATTACTCATACATGCTTTATTTTCGAACCATTAAATAAACCGTCAGAAACTCGTTACAGTTTATGCAACGGAGCGAAAAGCTTATTAGTCATAATAATGGAGGAAAAAAAATAACTTGTTTTCAGTGCAGAATTGTTCAGTGCAAAAACAATGGCTAAACGAGGTAGAGTTAAAAAAAATAAAATAAAAAAAATGCTGTGGAACGTCTCTGGAACGAGATTGTGTTCTCACTTGCATTATAGCAGCTGTAAAAACGAAATCGTTCCCTCAAAGAAGCGTAGACGCAGACACCGGGAAAAGACGCGGAAACCGCAAAGACGCGTAAACACTGGATGAACTGCAGAGAACTACAGCTGAGGTGGGAGAGTCTGTCCATAGGACAACAATCAGTCGTACACTGCACAAATCTGGCCTTTATGGAAGAGTGGCAAGAAGAATGCCATTTCTCAAAGATATCCATAAAAAGGCTTGTGATGAGACTAAAGTTTGCCACAAGCCTTTTATGGATATCTTTGGAAATGCTTTGCCACTCTTCCATAAATGCTAGATTTGCAGTGTACGAGATTTGTTCTATGGACGAACTCTCCCACCTCAGCTGTATTTTCTGCAGTTCATCCGAGAATATAGATCTGGCCTCTTGGCTGCATCTCTGATCAGTCTTCTCCTTGTCTGAGCTGAAAGTTTAGAGGGACGGCCAGTTCTTGGTAGATTTGCAGTGGTCTGATACTCCTTCCATTTCAAAATGATCGCTTGCACAGTGCTCCTTGGGATGTTTACAGCTTGGGAAATCTTTTTGTATCCAAATCCGGCTTTAAACTTCTCCACAACAGTATTACGGACCTGCCTGGTGTGTTCCTTGGTCTTCATGATGCTCTCTGCGCTTTCAACAGAACCCTGAGACTATCACAGAGCAGGTGCATTTATACAGAGACTTGATTACACACAGGTGGATTCTATTTATCACCATCAGTCATTTAGGACAACATTGGATCATTCAGAGATCCTCGCTGAACTTCTGGAGTGAGTTTGCTGCACTGAAAGTAAAGGGGGCGAATAATTTTGCACGCACCACTTTTCAGTTTTTTATTTGCTAAAAAAGTTTAAAATATCCAATAGATTTCGTTCCACTTCACAATTGTGTCCCACTTGTTGGTGATTCTTCACAAAAAATTTAAATTTTATATCTTTATGTTTGAAGCCTGAAATGTGGCAAAAGGTTGAAAAGTTCAAGGGGGCCGAATACTTTCGCAAGGCACTGTAAACACCGACACCTCAAAGACGTGGAAACCGTAAACACAGACACCGGGTGTCTGTATTTACGTGTCTTTGCGGTTTACGTGTCTTTGAGGTGTCTACGTTTCTGCGTCTTTGAGGTGTCTTTACGACACGTAAACGCAGACACCTCAAAGACGTGGAAACCGTAAACACAAACATGTCAAAGACACGTAAACCGCAAAGACGTAAACACAGACACCTCAAAGACACGTAAACCGCAAAGACACGTAAACACAGACACCTCAAAGACACGTAAACCGCAAAGACACGTAAACACAGACACCTCAAAGACGTGGAAACGCACTTTAAGAAAACTTCCCCGTATCACCGATTACACACGTTTTTTAATGTTCACGTGCCGCGTCCGCTCTACGTGGCAAGTCCCTGTGAACCAGCTGTGACCATAGAAACAACAATGTCCTCGAAGTACTGTCAGAGCTCCTGCTCTAGAAAATGAACCAACACCTTCTGACCAGAGTCCCGAGTTTAGTTTAACAGCACCGAGCGATGTTAAGGCGCTTCGGCTCGAGTTAGTCGAACTTCAGCTCCTCTTCTGTCCTTCTACTGCTTTCTGATTTCCATTTCTCCGAGCCTTCGTGGTTAATGAGACTTCACGCCGCACAAATCCCCCTCACTCCGGTGCAGCGGTCTGAGAATCCGCCGACCGCCATTAACCTTCAAACTTCCTCGCAGGAGATCGCGGATGCAGCGAAGAAAGAGTACGCAATTAAAAATAAATAAATAAATAAATAAATAAACTCTTCGTTT